AGGCTGTTTATAACTGTTGTTGTGTTATGTGCTCTCAGGCTGTTTATAACTGTTGTTGTGCTATGTGCTCTCAGGCTGTTTATAACTGTTGTTGTGCTATGTGCTCTCAGGCTGTTTATAACTGTTGTTGTGCTATGTGCTCTCAGGCTGTGAAGCTCAGGTTTGAGGATCTGAACACGAAGCTGATTTCTGCTTACGTTGAGAGGAGAGCGGACCCCATCGTTGGAGCCATTGAGCAGAACATGTACATCGGTCACTTCAGCTGGACAGAGTCATTCAAACCATCAGGTAACAGTATATCTTGTAGCTGTATATCTGTATGTAATCCATCTATCTATATGCAATGTAAACGTGCTATTGCAATTTACTGTGTAGAGAGTGCAAAGAGCTGACACTCGATAAATCAAAAATAAAATTGAAGTCGAGAAAGATGGTGCTAAAAGGGGAAGAAAGAAATTTACTATAGTTACTTATCAGTGACAGTACAATAGACTGAGATTCAGTGCAGCCAAACGAACTAATTACACTTTATACAACATAAGAGTTAAATGTCTAAAACTATATGTCTAAAACCAGCCAACCTCTCACCACTTCACACTTTTCCCATAACCCAGAGCTACTGAGCGAGCAAGGATGGATCTGTTGTAATTAATAGCCCATTAGCAGCGACACGGAATGCGTAGCTTCCAACAGCATCATCTTTTGTCAGATGACAGTGAAATTTAGTGTAGGAGTGCTCTTGCAGCATTGTTGCAAACGTTTTATTCTCTACTGAATACCTAGCACCAGCCAGCAAATGCTGTACCTAAAATCATATACCAGCTATTTTAAAATGGCTTTGATATATCATGTAAATTTTGCAAAGGTGAGTAGTAAACATTGTGTTCAAATGTTGCAGAGGTAAGCGGATACCTGAAGGAACTACTTTTCAGCATGGTGGCCATACATGCGGAGGTGCATGCGACTAGCCCTGCCTCCCTCTACGTGATCATGTCGCGATCACTGCAGGCAATTGCTGGCGAGCTCGCACGGCTTTTCTCCTGCGTAACTCGGTTCAGCGAAGGAGGGGCGCAGCAGGTAAGTTTGGAAAGATAGGAATGAACAAATGATAGCATTCCCTAGGGGCGGGGTTTTGGGGGTGGATGCGGGCTCAAGCATACTAACCTAAGGCCGCTGTCATACACTATTGCCATTATACATTATCACCGTAACCCTACACTACCCCTGATTGGAACCCTAACCCTAACATTCAAATCCCAATCCTAACTCCATCATGATCTCTGTATATATATATATATATATATATATATTGCACAGATTTTCCTGCACATTTAAATGCATGATTTAGTTATAATGCAATCATTCAATCACCCTTAATGTGTAATGCAACAGAAAAACATGCCTGCTGAATATCAAAACGTTCATACTACAATCACTGAAATATTATTCCTCAATATACAATTTGACCTTTAGTATCATCTAATAGTATTTGGCACTTTCAGGCTTGCCTGGACCTTATAGGCTTGCAGGGAGCAACAATGGCATACCAGTCAGCGACATCTAAAACTTGCTTCACAGAGGCTATGGCCTGCTTGCCTGAAAAATCAGCCAATGACGAGTATGTACAGATATTTAAACTGGTTGTGGCTTTTTTAGCATGATTTTCAACATTACATTTTTAGTGAAACGTAATACACTATATATTATAGGTTTTTACGTTTAACTTTATATAATAATAGAGCTATATTATGCATAGGAATGTAGTAAAAATAGAAATCTCTAGTGTCATTAGAACATTGTCATTTTTAAACATAGTTTGAGTTTCAGTAGTTATTCACTAGTGGTGTATGATTTAGAAATGAAAACTAGAGATATGAACTTAAAAAATCTCTTCACTGCTTTCAGAGTATCTGGCAAGCTGATGGACAAATTCAAGAGGAGCATGAAATTCCAGCTAATATGCTTCCAGGGAGAACTGATTAAGATGTGAGAAAAGTGTTTTGCTTGTTTTCTTCTGCATGTTATTTGTCATCCTACCAATCATGCATGCAGATGTTAGTGGTAAATTAAATACTATAAACTATACCCCAGCGTAATATACGCAGCCCATTGTTGTTTTCAAACACGTTTACATATTTATTTTTCTCGTACACCAAATGGCAGAGGTAATTACACGCTATTTGGACAGCACAACACACTTATAATAATTTATAGATAGTGGGATATATATATGCATACCATTTTCAGCTGATTTTGATAATTGTAAAGAATGAGTTAGCTCCCATTGTAAATTAAGTATATGCCAATAAAAATGTAATTAAATAAATTCATATACTCGATCAGAGTTATGTTTATTTGAAATATTTTGACCATGATATGACAGGACAGTTATTTTGTTTTATTCGCTGGAATTATTCTTGTGCCAAGCCTCGTTCCATAATGTGTCTACTCGCCTACTAATATTTTCCAAGCATTTGACTGAAATGACCAACCCAACGACCAACCCAAAGCTTTTATGACCACGATATGACTCTGTCTGGGAGCACGTGGCGACCGGTGGTGGTGCCACCGCCACAAATATATCATGTATGTAAACAGTAATGTATGAAATCGTGCAATAAACAACTACTGTACACCTGCATTTTGAAAATCTCATGTTGGAAATGCCAACCATTTAATCATTAATGAGTGGGAGAGCGAATACAGCCTTCGCATTGGTTAAGTTAGTTGCAAAACAGTAACTAATAACAATAATCATGATGCATTCATTGACATTGACACCTAATTCAACACCACAATTTTTCAATCCATACATAAACACAGGACAATAGATTTTACATCATGAAACTCGACAGTTCGAGCGCCCAATATCCAGGATTTCCTTTTTTTGATTTTTAGACAATTATTATTATAAATTCATCATAATTTCCATGCACGAAGATATTATTCCTTAACAACGATTGATATGTAACGTCAGCGACCATCAAGATAGGCTATTAACAATTCTATATAGTGATTTTTAATGCCACCTACCAGTAATTGGTACTGATAACTATAGCAGATAGCTCATGACAGTGGTGTGACATATGTTTTAACACCCAAGATGCGTTTTGGGTTTGACCCGAAATTCGGCCATACGCCTAGCTAGCTCACTATACCTTGTGGCAGCCACTGTTCGACTGACAGACTATAAACGAAGATGTTGACAACCTTTAGAAGCAAAATAGTTAGAATACCTGGGTGAATGAATCTACTTTGTAACATGTAGAACAAATGTACTTTGTAATCATGGTGCAAATAAGCACTATAACATAGCATGCACACACACAAACACAACCTACACAGGCAAAACTGACGAAGTGATGAAACTAATATATTATTACGTGATGTATATAAAAAAAACATTTCCACATATTTACCACAAACTCATATTAACTAATATATTAACAACTATATTAACTAACACCATACACCGTAATTGTATACAACCATAATAGCACTGGATAGCCAGTATTTTACCGTTACCAACCTACAAAATGAATAGAGACCTTTATAAATATCTCTATTCCTCTACTCCTGTAACTACCATATCAACTGTACACCTTTCAATAGATTAATTTCTACGCTTTTGTGTACCTACAAGTACAGCAAGCCTAACTGTTGTGCGTAAGGTTACAAGAGTATCCACTATCTATAACTAGATAAATAGCTGACATGACCTGTGGCAATACTTTGTTACAATTTTAATGTGAATAGTTAAATACACGCTATATTGTTTGCACAACATTGCGTTTTCTGATCAGGATACATATTTACTGTAATAGCACACACTGTACGACTTTCAACGTACAGCATATGCTGCTTGCATTTTGATTAAAAAATAGTTAATAACCAATAGATTTTAATTATTGTGCAGTTGCACAGCTGTGTTATAACGTCACCATAGACTAGCTTAGTATAGCACCTACTAGCTATACGCATGTAATATACGTAACTGGCGTAATGTATAACGTAACGTTGGACAGCCATCAGGTTCCAGCCATGTAAACGTATGGACCTAGAATGTATGTATATAGAAGATTAAATACACATTAGTTCATAACATCGCATACATAGTTAAATATGTACCACATATTGGATGAGTATATCACGTACTAGCTGGAAATATACTACATAGTAGCGTACTACTATGTACATACTACGTAAAAGTTATCTATACCATCTCTAGTTGCTATAGGTCTCTTTGCGTTTAGCGCAATGAATGCTAAACTTACTAGAGCTAACATTATTTTTAATAGCTATGAACACCCAGGAGTGATAAATTGAGCAACTAGTAGTGATATATATATATGGTACCATGTAACCGCTATCTTCCACTGCAGCAAAACCACAATAACCTGATATGAATATGTTATTTCAATATATTAGAGGTTAATTGCAACGTATGAGTATTCAAGCAGTAGTTGGAGGTGTGAATACACCCAGTAAGAATTTTACCGTGTAGTTTGTCACACTTAGCTATCATATATTCCGAGTTGATGTTTGCCAACAATCATTGAGATTCTTGTCATTTAATTTATATCGCGTTATAACGAGGCTACACTGTACGTGATCTGCGCCCTTGCATTGCATCTACATTTGGTCCCATGGCCCGTTTCATCTACCACATACAATCTAACCACAGTGTGTATCTCATCACATTGAGATATTGCTTCTGATTTTCGGGATTAGTTATCTCTATCTTACAAGTGCCATAAATATATTTAATATACAAAATACCATAATCCATATATCCGAGCCATATTTTTCAAAAGGTTGTAGCATAAACAGAGTCATCGATGGCTCATTTCCCCCTGGTAATATCCGAGTAAGAATATATATCTAATATTACGTACTTGATATATTCCTCCTACTGTACAGTAATTCCTCTCCAACTGCAAGGGTTGCATTCCTAGAATGTGCCGATGTTGGATTATCCGAAGTTAGTGAATCTTTACACAAATAGCAAACTGATGATACTGGAAATTCATGCTCGAGTTGGAGAGGGTTTACTGTAGTGTGTCTACTATTCTTGGCACGACCACAATGTAAAATCTCATGTCTTTTATTCCAGCACAACTAATATATAAATTTGATACAGCACGTCAACTCCACCGGAAGAAGGTACATAATTAAAAACAGAAAAAAATATAACAAAAACTGAATTTTGAGGTAGCTATACAGAATCGTTAATCCCCATATGAACAGGACCTGACCTATCTCCATGCTGACAACCGTACTACCTAGAACTTGGGAGACAACCATGATAACCCCCAAACACAGCTACCGTGAACAGCCCTGAAAACGTTCTAATGAGATTCGAATAATAGACACGACGAGGTGAATTAACAATCATCTCTACAATGATCATTAGCTCGTACTTAAACACAATACCGGTACTCATCATCACACTATTAGAGAGAACTTGTGTACAGTTCCTATAAAACTGGATCCAATACCATCCTAGGAAAAAGGGTGAGATTACTATATGCTCATGATGCCATGCATGTTATCAGGAGTGAATAATAGAGATATCTCTAGTATTCACACCTGATGTTATGGCACCGCATTGTGGACACTCGTTGATCCTAGACTATTGCAAACCGTATTCCTCGCTGCCGCACGCAAATTGCTGAAACTGTGATGCGATCGCTTGCAGGTACGCAACTTGTGCTTCACATGTTGGTCTCGTACATCGGCGGCAGCGACGTTGCCGTGTAGTTCGCTACGGGGTTGTCGTACATGCTCTGCTGTTTCACGCCGCTCGTGACAACGCCACCCACGAGGTGACCGTTCTGCGTCGTTTCGTGCATGATCTGGTACTCCGTACGGAATGGTTCCACGGCTGGCATCCACTCAGTCGGCCGCACTCCCCGTAACAACCGCTGCGGTAGAAATTAATCACAAGCATTAACGGCAATGTTAAATTACTGTATAGCATTCATTTAGCAAGACTGCGTCACCGAGACTCAAAACTGCTCGTTTAACGTGGAGAATTATGCATAAGTGTGTGTGTGTTCACAATCAACCAAGAGCAAATGATTATTATAATTTAATAAACTAGTAAAATAATAAAATAATAAAATAGCATGACTATAGTACTCGCATCATTTTTCATTGCTACACTATTTATCACAACTAATTTAACAATTACTAGGAAAAACTATGTACAAAGGGTTACCATCATCTTGTGGTCAAATAATGAGATGACTATATATAAATATAAAAATATAAAGCATAATTAAGTAATAAAAATAACTTGATAATAACACTCCATTACTTATATAATATTATATAATATTAAGTTTTAAATTAATATTATCTACCGTATTTACTCGTGTATAAGTCACACCCCATAATTTGCCTTGACAAGTTTGTACAAACATTGGTATGGATATCCTAGCCTCGTGTATAAGTCGCACCCCTGATTTTTTTATTGAAGTTGTGTACAAAAAAGTGCGACTTATACACGAGTAAATAACGAGAAGACTATTGCAGGATTGGGAGTTTTACCTGGAAGAACGTTCCAGGTCGTGAGAGCAGATAGTAGACGGCGTACAGGGGTATAGGAATGATGGATAGCATTCCCACCATCCAGCCAACGATGATAGACCATCGCGGGTATTTGTAACCAGCGTACTCTACGTTCGTCTGGTACAAGCCAGTTATGATGAGTATGAACTGGAAAGAAATGGGGAAAATCAATTCATCAGCGATGAAAGCATACACCTGATATCAAACTTGATGCGACAGAGAATCCAACTGAGTATTTACAGGAAAATGGAATCGATCTGAAATGGAAATTAATAGGTCTCTTAAAATGAAATTATGATTATTTTAATATGCTTTGGCAGTAACATTATACAGTTTTGATAACCTTTATAACCTTTATTTATTTAACCCCCCCTCCCAAATATCATTTATCGTTCATGGAAGCAATTGGGTGTATATGATATACTTCGTGGTTCTTATGCATGCAATAAATGCCTTCGATGAAAGCAACACCTTTATTACATACCACTAAAATTGCTGGAACAAACACAGCCCATAGAACCCACCAAAGCCACTTGCATGGAACCTCAAAGTTCAGCATCATTTTTATGTCTTTTAGTAACCTGAATGGTCCTGAAGTGAAGTAGAAAATCTATATTAATATCTAACCAAATCTATCTCTTCATTTAGAAATTAACAATCGCCAGTGTATTGTGTTATCGCCTATCAGCTTCATGTGTATTGTGTACATGTATTGTGTGACGTCATTAAACTTGCGTCTTCGTCATCCGGCTTGTGGTCCGTTGCGGTGTGTTGTTCACTCAATATTGGCGAATATTAATTCTTGGCACTAACACATACACATTACTCATATGTATAACATACAACATTAGTTGTATATTATTATTATACATAGACAGTCAGTGATACGTAGATGTAATTATGTCAGTTCAGTGTGACTGAACTCATCTAGAACCTACCATTCTAGCAATTTCCATCTCTCGTAACCCTAAATATACTGCACCTTTATTTAGCACTACGGAACGGAAAACTAGTTATAATCACAGCAACATACATATAGTTATGCCATTTTAAAGTATACGCACTTTATTAAAGGATCCACATGGATGCCAGTAGAATTTTACGACCCTAATCTAACTGCATTGGTTGAGGTAAGTTCAAATGATATCACATTTAGACATTGTAAATGTACGTACCAAATATCCATCCAATGACGATCACTTCACATAGTGAGATCACCATCACGGAGTAGCCAGCTGCATACCAGTCCAGCAATATAAACACATAGGCACCTCCCTAGAGATACACGATCCTTTACTAGCTGTTATCATCAAATAATGCAACACGTATATATAGTAATCAGTTTCTTTAAGTAGAATGAAACAGATATGTAAAGTAGCCCAAAGAAGTGTATATAGGGAGTGTGTCAACACTGCTAGGCACCAGTTGTTGTAGTAATTGTACAGTAATTGACATTAGATGATCCAATTTCACTGCTGGTTACTCAAGAGCTCAATTGAAAATCATCTGCATTTATCAGCAACTGTTTACACTTTGAATCGCGACTGCCAAAAGGGGGTGTAACATGTGTAACAGAATTAAGTTGCTGCGCTGAGCATTTTCACACGCATTCTGGACAGCACATATGCTGAGCTTGTCACTCCCGTTAAAACCATAGAAATATATAGAGACACTAGATAGATATATAGAGTCTAACTAATATATTATTTTTATGGTTACAACATACAGGACACACATATTATCACTAAACTTCTTACTATTATTGTTATGTGACACAGTGTGTAAACTCATATATGGACTTTTAAGTTAGGCTGTTGATAAACAACATTAAGAAGTCTGGCTAATGTCTAGTAAAAATTGACAAACCGAAACAAATTTGGTGGTAAGATTAAGTACAATTCTAAACAACACATGGTGTCAGTTATTCTAGCATTCGCTAAAAGAGCAGATAAGATATTATTCAATAACCAATGTTTACTGCACCTATAACAACTTTGACTGAATTAGGGCCCACTGACATATATGCACACACCAGAAACAGCTAACTGCACATTTTTGTCGCTTTAATCAACAACAAGTGCATTATAGTAACTGCACTGCAAGATGCTTACCCTGGTCATCATTGGCAGCCCAAGGATGAACATAACGATAGAGCAGGCGGCAGTGATGTAGAGCTTCGAGTTTTTATACTTCCTCGTAACGTGTGAAAGTTCATCCCAGATAGCCGTTACCACCGTCTCCAACATCACGAACTGAAACACGGAATTGACGCGGTAGCTGACAATCAAGATGCATTCTGCCATGGAAAGACCACACTGTATGTAACTCACACGTTACCATATACAGGTGTAGAAATTAACTTTTGAACAAGGAAGTCCATCGGACTCCCTGCCCTCAAAAAGAGGGAGTCTGCAGCAAAATGAGGGAGTCCGAAGTCTGAAGTTCAAAACTAAAACATAACAATAACACGTGCTTATTTTTAAGATTCATGCGATGCACGTCTGCCAAATTTTCTTTGGAAATTTGCTGAAAAAATACGGTAATTCCGTGAGGCCATGCTCTGAAACGAACTATATAGTTAGTATAGCAGTATTTTCAGGGAGTCACACGGACTCCTGCATATGTCAAATCGGGGAGTCCGACAGTAAATCAGGGAATATTTGACTCCGGACTCTCATTAATTACGCACCCTGCATATACTAGTGGGCACAATGATTATCAGAGCTAAGCGCGTGAGCTGGGAAGGTCGACTGCCAGAACAGACTGTAATAGCTGTGAAATATATAACAGTGAATTTTCGTTCAGAGTATAGTGATTTTATTAATATTCACGTAAGTGGGTTGAAAGTTCAGTGCCTCAAGAATTACATAAATTGCATTGAATCTCATATTAAGGTAGCGTCACTATAGCTGAGAGGGTCTATGTCCCCCAGGGTACTATCGGAGGGTACCCTGGGTACGGTTCGATATATCGGAACGTACCCTGGTACTATCTAATATGCCGGACCGCACCTCGCCTACTCCACTAACAAGTCTAGGGAGTCGCCTATGCCTACTCCCTAACCCTAATCCTAACCATATCAGATGGTTACCAGGGTACGTTCCGATATATCGAACCGTACCCAGGGTACCCTCCGATAGTACCCTGGGGGACATCAACTCTATGTATACATACATATATATATATATTCATACCTGACTATCCATTCCCAGTGTAAGCAGCATGAAAAAGAAGAGGATGGCCCAAAGGGGCGAAACCGGCATCTGCGATATGGCTTCAGGGTAAACTACAAACGCCAGACCTGGACCTAAAAATAATGCAAAGTTTTTGTAGAACATCCAATAAATCCTGAGGGCATCTTGATAAATCAGTATGAAGCCTTGATTTAATGCATTTTCTTTTCCCTTGTTGTCTTTTCATGAAGCATAGGGCCAAGACAAATGTTTTTTGTTTGTTTCTGTAACAGGCTTCATCTGTAAATGCTACTCACATATACATGAGGTTGTTAATCTTACCTCAAATACATTAATCCTTTATTTAATGGAGCCACTGCCGTGATCACAGCACTGAGGAAAATTGCTGAGTTAATAAATGTACCCTTTATCTACTTCGACATAATTTCAACCAATCAGAGCCCAGCCTCTTACAGAAGGTGGAGCGGCTAAAGTTGTTCCTGCATAAAAACGACCAGGAACCAGTCTAACATTTTCGTGGCAGAACATGTCAGGTTGTTAATGACTGTGGACACGCCACCTATGATGCATTAAACCCTGTATACACATGAGAATTGAGTTCTAACCTGACGTGACAACATCCTTGACGGGGACACCGGCCTCGGTAGCCATGAAACCGATAACCGAGAAAACAGCAAATCCAGCGAATATGCTCGTTCCACTGTTGATGATCGGTACAAGTAACGCATCCCTGTAACCATGACAACACGTTAACAAATATGCTCATTCCACTGTTGATGACTGGTACAAGTAACGCATCCCTGTAACCACGACAACGCGTTAACAAATATGCTCGTTCCACTGTTGATGACCGATAAAAGTAGCGCATCCCTGTAACCATGACAACACCTTAACAAATATAACATAGCTCTAGTTTCAACTGTTGCTAAGGGGAAAGACTCTCAGTAGTTTCTCTAGCTCCGCATTGCGAAAAGGCAAAAAAATAACAACAATATAGTGAACCTAAACTGTTTTCATTTGAGAATAAGGATGAAAATTTTATACCACTTGATAAATAGGTCGGTTTAACAGTTCCTACTCAATATATTTTACAACGGCACAAATAAATTAATAAGAGATGCACCTTAAGCAGTTGTTGCGAAATCGATTGTAGGAAGCCATCGTTATGAGACCACCCCATCCCGGTCCTAATGAGTAGAAGATCTGAATGCATGCTTCTCCCCACACCTACAGACAGAACCAAGCACAATGTCATACTAAATCCTTACAGACAGAGAGAATAATATGGATCTCCTTTAATCAACATAATTATCACCGGTATACATGCTATTATATTTATGCTATTTATATTCAATAGGCTATTATATCGTAAAATCGAAATCACATTATCTTACCTATAAAAACAGAGAACGGAAGATGGAAGAAATACGGAAACAAAAATCGCTCGTCATGTACATGAACTACTAAAAATGAAAATGTATATGTTCGTCTAGGCTAACTATACCTCCCTCCAATCAAGCAAACACTGACCTTAAATGTCTTTAGTTGGTTCCAATCAGGCTTCAGGTAAAAATAGATGCCTAGTTTCGCACCGGGTAATGTCGCTCCTCTTACTAGCAGCACGAAGAGAATCACGTAGGGAAACGTTGCAGTGAAGTAGACGACCTATCATAGGCAAGCACAGGGTATCTCCCATCAGCCACATCTAGTAATTATGCTCATCACTGCACATAACATTTACACAACGGCTAGCGGCATATATACAACTTAGCAAAGTGACATAACATGATACACCGAGCGGCAGTGTCTACACAACCTTGTCTTAACTACCATCAAGGAAGGAACGAAGAATAACGAAGGCCATTGGGTGTTGAGCAAACCTACTAGAAACACGAGGTACGTGAATATGAAACCGGGGAAAAAATCAAGTGGACAAAGCAGGTCGACAGTGTTGAAGGTTATCAATGCACGGGGGGAAGGGGATCTACACCATCATCATCATCATCATCATCCTAAGGCCACCAGTTCTATCAACCCTGCAACACACTAGTGTTGCAAGGAGCTCATCATCACGATGCCTCGGAGATTCACCTGTAATTCAAGCTGGCCAACCTGCAGTCTAAGCTCCCGTTTACTGAATGGCAAACCTGTGCTGCCCCTCGGTGCAACCCAAGCTGCATGTATAGAAGAAAAATGCTCATGTAGTTCGTTACACTTTGAATGCGAGACTTGTACAAACACGCGTAAATCCTCACCACACCACACCACACCACACCGCACCAATATGAACAACTTCTAACAGAATATGTTTTTAAAATGCATTACAATACATATACATAATACATATATTCCCCCCATAACGTCATTAATTTGTGAAATTTATAGAATAAAAATCTCTCTCTCGGAATCTGGTTATCTTCCCTCATTCAGCTTAATCAATAAATCACCAAGGGTATACTCAAAGCATTGCTTCTCAGATTGAAACCCATGTAGCGACTAGATCTGTGCTTTAGTGGAAGGGAGGGAGAATGATGTTATAAAGCAATAAGGCTATAATCAGTATGCCTAAAGCTAAAACATTCTAAAGCTAGTGCCTTCATATATGTTAACAGTGAAGGACAGAAATGAGTAGGCAAAAGGGGTACCCTACCTTACTAATATATATTAAATTCATAAATCTTTGTTATAAAAACTCCCTGATATGCCGCACGAGATTTCATTCATAATTCGGCCAACTCTCTAGATGGCAAAAGGGGTGAATTAAAATAACTGTGCATTTTAGAAACTAGACAATCTAGGCAAAGATAATTTTAAGTGCTTATTTAGTAGCAACAACTTACTGTTATTTAGTGGTGGAGATTTAGCTTTACATGAACTTGTGAATGTAACCTTAATTTTTCTTCATTATTGGTTAAAATCGATAACTAAACATGAGAGATGCAGAGAGTGTGCTTATCCGATGTTCAAATTTACACTGGTGCTGCCACCACAAATTACACACGATTACAATCCTAACTATGCTGCTATAGTCAGAAAACACTGCTATATGACCCTTATGTCACTGAGACGATTGAATCCAAGTTATCAAGATTCATGCCTCTATTGCCCTGATGCAAGATGACGATATCTAATTAAGGCCTACTAACACACGGTTTAAATGCTAACCTGAATTTGACCAGCGTTTTGTGTTGGCATTAGTTGTGCTTTCATGTTTATGTTCCTACATTTCACGCCGGGTGCATATAATCAAGAGCTAATAATACTGTATCTTGATACAATTATTTGAATAATTTTGATGATAACAGATTCAATATTTTAGAAGTCACAAGTTCAGTAATATATAAAGGGCAGTTACACATAAACATGAACATATTATATATACAGGGGTTGAAATTAACTTTTGAACATGCAGGAGTCCAACCCTACCCTCAAAAAGAGGGAGTCCGCAGCAAAATGAGGGAGTCCGCAGTCTGAGGTTCAAAATTAAAGATATTAACAATAACGCATGTGCTTATTTTTAAGATTCATGCAGTTGCACGTCTGCCAAATTTTCTTGGGACATTAGCTGAAAAATACGGTAATTCCGCGAAGCCGTGCTCCGGAACGAACTAGTCAGTATCGCAGAATTTTCAGGAAGTCCCACGGACTCCTGCATATGTCAAATCAGGGAGTCCGACAGTAAATCAGAAAGTATTTGACTCCGGACTCCCATTAATTTCGCACCCTGTATATATACATATATATAACATAATTATTATTATAAGCATCTTATCTGAAGTATGAAAAAATATCAATTTAAGGGAAATCTAAATGATCAGTGCAAAAGGCATCAAAGGCAATCGCACCTCACATAATAATGCATTAAAAAAATTATTTAATTATTTTTCATTGACATAAAATACTGAGTTTATTTGGCATAAATAAAGGTGAAAAAATTGGTGAAAAATAGTGTAGTGTTATTCTTATGAGCATGCATCTAATGTTCCTATTAATGGCAGTTGGTCTGAGAAAAAGCTGCAACCCAATACTGTTACATGCTAGGTATTCCTCTATTTGTCACCTTACAGTAAACTAAGTTTACCTAAGTTACCCAGTTTATCCTAGCTATATACCCTTCCACTCTAGTTGCATATTTTACTGATCACCGTGCTTGCCTTCCCGCTAACTGATCTCAAACCCACCTTTTAGTTCAGACCCTGTTCATAGTCTCTTACTCAGCTGGGCTATAACTCATCATATTAAAACCTTTTATCTTCCCAAACATAGATCTGTGTCATTCATTAAAAATGCATTACTTTCAGTTTTAGCAAAGGTGCAAAGCTGGCATAAACATGATTAAAGATAATTCAATCAATACTGATGGCTCTGCTCGGAAATCCCCCTATTTGAGTGATTTACTGAATTTCACTTGTTTTTTAAATATAGGCAGAGAACCACAGCACACACACGACTGTCTTATAGCCCTGCATGATTAATGCACTCTAATTAATCCTAGTGTCATAGTCTATACATTATTTGTACATTTAACAAAATGTCATTAAACCCCAACTCAGCTTTTAAAATGAATCAGATTCAATGCACACAATGATCGCATTATTAGGTAAATAAAGATATGAACTGATTGTAGAATCATCACTGTAGTATTTACTTAGAAAGTTTAGCCTACCTATTTCTACATGTTTGCAAATTAATAATCCTGCTAGAAGTGAATTTTTACGCCACAATTTTTACCAAAATAATGTCAAAAAGATATACATTAATGTGCATACACCCGTGCTTCGCCTAGGTAGTACTAAAATTTAGTAATATCCACTTCTATTCCTACTAGGTCCAACCCCCAGCCACCGTGCAACGTGTCGAAGTACCGCAGCCCGCAACCGCACGTACCTTGCCGGAGGACTTGACACCCTTGCAGACGCAGGCAAAAACAAGAAGCCATGCAACGATGAGCGCTATGACTAGCTGCCAGCGCATTCCATTCGGCTCCGTTATGCCGTCGGAAAGCTCCAGTACTCTCCGCCTGCGAACATCGATCACACATCTAATCAGGCACACATCAACACATCAAATCTAATAAATACAAGCAGGCAGCAGCAGCAACAACAGTAGTAGTAGCAGCAGCAGTAGCAGCAGCAGCAGCAGCAGCAGCAGCAGCAGGAGCAGCAGGAGCAGCAGGAGCAG